CCACATTTTATTGAATATTGTTATAGGAAGTGGTCCTATTAATGATTCATTGGGTATTTTAGTTTTGTGAATGTATGCTATTTCGCGGCTTTTACTTTCCGACATACCTTTTAACTCTTTCATGTTTTTATCAAAGAAAGTTGGTAGTCCCATTTTGAGGAACAAGTTCACACCAGTCTTATGGAACACCATTCCATTTTCTTGAATCTTGGTGGCTTGCTTTTGGGTTTAGTCCTCAATTCCCCTTGTTTTAGAGTTGGGGTTTGACTTCTTTCCGAGTTTGCTTGATTGTAAAAGCGTTAGGAGTTGATTCGCTTTTTTTTCGTTGCCCAGTATTTGCGCCTCCAGCGCTTCTTTCATGATTTTTGCCTGGGTTCCTTTGACGGATTGGGTTTGATTTTCTTCTTGGGTGAATGGGTGTTTTCCAGTACCTGTTCAACAGATGTATTAGATTACCAATTTCAGTGTCATTCCCCCCCTTTTTTTTGGTATCTGGCAAAAAGAAATGTGGTTCTCACCTTTCTCTGTCTGATTGGCTTGGAGCAGCATCAATATTTATTCTGGATTGTCTTCCCTATCTCCGTCCTCTTCATTGGTTGTCTTGAGACGACTTCCAATTTTTTCTGCTGCCATTGAGAGGCGAGATTTCTTTGCGTTGCAATTTTCCTACCTTGGTTGTTCCCAGGTGGATTGTTGGCTTCCTCGCTATTCTGCTTTTTTTTGGTGGGTGTATTGGAGGGGTTTGGGTTGTTGTTGCCCTTGGGTTGTGTGCCTGGGGTTTGGCTTTGGATAGCATTGCTTAAAGCTTGGTTTTCCATTTTGATTTGGGTGATGAGTGGAGATAAGGAGATAGGTAGGAGGTTTGAGGAAGGTTACGGAGTTTTACTAAGGATTTTGTAAGATTTTCTGGTGGGATAGATATTGGTTTTTTTTTAACTAGAAAGGCTAAAAAACTTGAGTCTTTGTTCAGAAGAGAAGTCTGGGACGGATTGCGCGTAGCTGGAAAGGTGCAACACTGTCCCTTCTCTTCTGAGTAAGAGACAGGGTATTTATACCCAGGAGCTTCCTAGTAGCTCATCCCATAGATGCAGGGAGCGTCCGGGGAGGATCTTCCGTCCTGAGAGGAACTGATGCTGGCGTCTCCTAGGGAGCGCTAGACTGAGCCTCTAAGCTAAGGGAAAGCTTAGCTTTGGTCAAGGAAGAAGCTCCCTGGGGAGTCCCAAGGTACCCGGGGCCTACATGGACGCCGGTGAACTCGGGGCTGTGCCCTGCCGTACACCTCTCATCATTTTGTGCGCGCGTGCAAGGCACCCGCACATTGGCGCACCCTTGGAGTGGCGCCATCAACCCTATTGGGTGCAATAGATGTTACGCTTTGCTAGATTTAGAGCATCTCCAACGGACTTGCAACCCCAATTTAGCGAGTCACACAAGTTCTTGGGGTCCAACGGACTCGCCATCCGGCTTGTCAATAGCATTCAGGGTCGTCTCAACTCCAAAACCCTTGGCTTTTGGCAAGTCTCTTCCAAACCCAACAACACACCAATACTTCAAAGTGGTTGTCCACACCGCGCGACCATTCAACTCTTGCATGTTGTCTTCATCCGACAAAGAGCTTGAGCTGATAGACCCCACCCTGGCTCATATGGTCAAAAATATTGACAAAGCCAACAATGTACATAATCAAAGCCAAAGCATCCAAAACCTCCAAAAGGGTGACCCAAAGAAGATCAATCATTTGAAAGTCTCCCTTGAGTCAATCTCGGTCAATTGTCAGTAATGCCTGCCACTGATCCTCAATTCCTCCCCACTCCTTTTGAGTCTGGAGAAGATTGATGATGTATGTATTGAGATACATGGCAATGGTGTAGTTGAATGATCACATTATCCTCTTTGTTGAGGAAGTGAGTAACCATCTGATTGGATGGATGTTGAACAAGGATAATCCTTCGTATGGCAAAAAATGAAGGGTCTTAGTCAACCACTGACTCCCAAAATTGGAGTTCCGACTCCCAAATTTTTGGGACGTCGGAGGACCGCCCGTTGATGGGGGCCAGGACGTCCTGACCCCATAATTTTTTTCCCCCGGTTTTTTGGGAGTCAGACCTCCAAGAGGTTTGACTTGCTTAGAAGTCGGACCTGTGAAAAAAATAATAAAAAATAAGAAAAAATTGATTCCCCCCGGGGGTTTTTGGGAGTGAACACTCTAAAAACCCCATGGGGGGCTGTGAGTTGGCTGCAAAAGAAGAAAAAAATCCTGACGGCCGGGATGATTCCTCTCAGCTGTTGAGAGTATACCCTCTTGGCCGCCGGGAGGATTCCTCTCAGCTGTGGAGAGGGTACAGTGCCTAGACAGTGAAAAATGGCGCGGGGTGAAAATGGTGATTTTGCATATTTGATGCAAGTGCACCCTGCAGCTACAGAGTCAGTGCACCTCTATTGGCTCACAAATAACACCAACGGGCACAAAAATCAAGAAAAGTAAGTCAATTTCCTTTCCTATTTCCTTTCCGGCACCTCCCCAGCTCTCAACATTGCCCCGCAAGCTAGGCAAGAAGAAGAGCGGACAAGTGGCCCCATTGTTGTTGTCATTGCCAGAGGCCTCATCAACGATCTCGCCACTGGTCATCCAGCCCACCACCTTTTCTTCATCATTGGCGGGGCAACCCTGTCAATCAAGTTCTCATCGGACTGTTCCTGGCCTCTTTTGCGGTCTCAATATCTTGTCTAAAATGATTGTTTGGTGGTTGGCCTTTGAGATTCTGTCGGAATGGTTGACCCCAAGATGAGTTGCAACTTCTTACCATGTAAATTTGTTGGTTGTGTCACATTCTAACTTGATGATAACTGTTGTGTAATAGCTTGAATTTGGCTCACATTGTAAACAACGGCATCCGCTTGATAAGTCAGGCTCATCATCAGTGAGTGGGTAACAAATTCCCACAAAGCGGAATCCATGCTGGTCCAAAACGTCCGCAAGGCAAGTTTGAACTAGCTAAAATAACTTTAATTAGATGATTGAGGAATCAAGAGAAGAAGCTGCGTGGAGACTCACTTGATCAAACCAATAGCTCTTGATGGAATCCAAGAGATTTTTCAAATGATCCACATACATGCTCCAGAATTCCCTAGCCTTTTGATGATCCAGATCACTCGTCCAAGCTCGGCAACACCAATTTGGATCAATGATCGCAAGCCGGGCGTTCCCATGTTGACAATTAAGCATTTCCAATCACACAATCTGATGCTAAGCATGAGTTTTTCCGCCAAGCCAGAGTGGTCTCCCCACCCATCCTTCTCTCCACCGCGGCAGAGCGTTTTGATAAAGTTATTCTCTGGTCTCCACCAATGACGTTGCAAGTGAAGTGGCAACTACCAATCAGCTCCAACTCTCATTCATTGCCTAATGATGGGACCTATGAAGATAGAAATTCTTTGGATCAGTCCAAGTCTGAAGCCGCTCTCCTCCACTAATAGTCTTGCTCGGCTTCCTCACCCCAACTCCGGCTATTAACCCCCCTCACTGCGCCATTCTAGAGTCTCTGATCAATTTCAGCTGTCCCCTACAGATGACCTTGACCCTCTCTTCTGCCTGCAGCCGCTACTTTAACTGTCACCTTGTCATCTGCGGCCTTTCACTCCCATTGAACACACCGGCCCCTCATCCCCATCCATCTCCCTCTCCTCCTGACCATACTAGATCATCATAATCCTGATTCCCTGAGCATAATCATTGCTTCTTTTCCTGTTCTTCAGATGCCTCAAAGACTGCAAAAACCACAGGTGACATTTGAGCAAAAAGCATTAATCTTCGGCATGTCAAAGGCCGGGAATGAAGCCAACAAAGATCTCTCAACAGACTGGTATTTTCCAAAAGCCAGTATCTGATATCATTTCCCAATTGCTTGCTTGTGGGACCGTTGCAAGGCAGCCTGGATCTGGCAAACAGCCCAAGACTAGCAAGACCAACCTTCACCTGCTTGGAAGGATTCTCAAGGAAAACCCTTGCATGAAGATGGCGGAGGTTTGAGACCAAATCGCTGTTCCAATCAGTACCCAAAATGCTAGACAACAAGCTCACGAGCTCGGTTTCAAGAATTGGGTGGCTGTGAAGAAGCTTTCCTCACCAAAACGCACGAGCAATTTTGCTTGCAATTCACAAAACAATACAAGGACTGGAGGAAGATTGTGTGGACCGACAAGTCCTCCTTTGAAATTGGAAAGATTTCTCAACAGGTTGTTGTTTGGAGAAAACCCAAGGATAAATATAAAAAAGAGTATCTAACTCCAACATTAAAGAGCGGTCAAACTTTGACGATGGTCTGGGGAGCGTTTTTCAGAACCACTCGTGCCCCTCTCACAATCATCCCCCCCGGCCAACAAAAGGCTGAACAATTCATCAAGAACGTCTATGAGAAGGCCTTGATCCCCTTCCTTGAAGAAAACAACCCCAACCACGAACTCACCCTCATGGAGGACAACACCTTGGTCCACGCCGCTAAGCTCAGCCATCAATTCCTTGACTCGTATTCAATTGAGAAAGTCAACTGGCCAGCACAATCACCTGACCTCAACCCCATCAAAAACTTCTGGAAGGTCCTCAAGAGTAACATTCAAGAGCTCTACCAGCCGCAATCCATCCCAGAAATGCACGAAGCCCTCCACCAAGCCTGGGCCGACTTCCCTAACAACATCCTTGACCACCTCATCAAATCAATGCCGCATAGGATGGTGGCCGTCATTGAGGCCAAGGGTGGTTCCACCCAATGGTAGAATAACACTCCATGGTATTGTTTATTACTTAGATTGAACAAAAAAAGCTTAAAAGACAAAAGAAAAAAAAATTAAAAAAACAATAATAAAAGAAATTTTTTCAACTTTTTTTATATATTCTTTCTTCTCCACTCTCAGTGCATCACCCCCTAAAATTGTGTATTTTTTACATCAATTTGAAAAAACTACAAAATTTGATTTTTTTCATCAATTTTTATCTTTTTTTTGATTGCCTGTGTAATTAATTTGTTTCTATATTCTTTTTACCTGAACCACTTTGCCCCTGTGACAAAAAAATTGAAGTTGAAAAGTGGCTCCTTGCCCTCCAAAAAAAAGATAAATGGGACACAATTTTTCACTGTCTAGGCACTGTACACGCTCCACAACCAAGAGGGCTTCTCTCAGCCATCAAGAGTGTACACTCTCAATGGCCAAGAGGACTCCTCCCGGCCATCAAGAATGTACACTCTCAACGGCCGAGAGTGTATACTCTCCAGAGGCCAAGAGGAATGTACACTCTCGGCAACTGAGAGGGCCCTCTCTATCGCTGAGAGCCATAAACTCTCAGCGGCCAAGAGGAATCCCTCTCAACCCGCTGAGAGTTGTACACTCTCCAACCAAGAGGAATCCCTCTTGGCCCGCTGAAACAAAGAAGCTACCGGTGTGGTAGGCAAAAATGTGAAAATTAAAAGTTTTTTCTTTATTCTCTCATACATATATTTTTCTTCATATTATCATCCGCAATCTCTCAGAAATCACACCATACGGATCAAGAACTGGACTATATGGATAATTTTACCCATGGTCACCACTGGAGGCATCTCTGTAACTCTAATGGTTTGGATTTTACACACCTCTGAACATGTACAAGACTCAAAATACACAAACCCTTCATGACTACAGGACACAGGTAAACAGATGAAATCATAATCTTCTTACAGGTGCACAGCTTACACAGCTTGTCAGCTCATGTGTACAGCTCATGTGCGCAGATTGACAGGTCATGTGATAATCTTGCTGCAGCTGTCAGTCTAGTTGAAATACCTCATGCACTCTGCATGACATCATGCAGATTGCTAGGCTAGCACAAACCCCTCATGTACACTGCCTCCTCCAGCTCAAATATCTCAAATTACATCATGTAGGCTGTACAACTAGCCAAAATACCTCATTGTAAAGCTCTCACCAGCTAAAACCTCTCATTCTCTTTCTCCCTTGGAGCCAAAATCCCTCATTGTTGTCTATTTAAGGAGGCTCTCCTCCCAGTTGTTTTTCTCCTCAGTTTAATACCCACAAATCACATACCCCCTACCATTACATACCATACCATTAACATTACATACTGCGACAACCCTTATAACACCTTATAACAACCCTTACACTTGTAATACACACTAAACTCATTCTCATACTCTCATAAACTCAATTCTTACATCATTAAACTGTGATAAAACAAAGAAATCTTGAGCCAACCACCCCTATCACTTGATTAAAACTTGCCAAGCTAAGCTTGGTGGGTCTTGTTATCTGATAGTATAGAAGGGCAGAGCTTGCAACTCCACCATACCCTTCTCCATTCAGCAAAAAGGTTTCAGAGCCACTTTTGAGTCTTACACCGGGGACTCACTATATATAGGACTTGAACAGTGAATTTATATTTGATATTCAGTAAGGAAAGAAGAGGGTGAGAGTGAGAAACTGGTACAGAGTAATAGTGAGTAGCTTGTTAGAAGCATATCTAAATATAAGCATATGACTACTAGATACAGGGATCACTATCCCAACATCTCCCTTTGCTGATAACCAAGCTATAAATTCAGCATAAGATCAAGTGGAACTAAAATAGAGATAAAAAAATGGAAATTGTACTACTAACAAGTAAAAAAATACTAATAGTAATGGAATTACCATACAGTAGGCTAAGAAAAGTTCCAGCGTACTCAGAGAAGAGGAATGTGATAACTAGCTTAATTCAGGTACTCATAGATCATGCCGATTTCATCCTCATTGTTGAAAGATCCTGATTTGTAACATGGTGACAGCTCCAGCCTTGGCTTTCCCTTTGTTTTTCAATTGGTAGCAATCGGAAGAACGGTGGCCGTGTTTCCCACAGTGAGAGCATCCAAAACGTTTGGGGGTGGCAGCAGCGGCGACCACGTTGTTTGTCTTTGTAATATTCAAGCTGACTTTGTGGGCCTCCAACGCTCCTATGATGTCATCAAGCGACATTTCCGTAGCTGTGTAGACAATGGAGTTGCAGACGTTAGACCAGGAGGGATCGAGACCGCCAACAAGTCTGTCTGCAATTTGACAATTGGTCGGAAGTTCTTCAATGGAAAGCAAGTCATCTGCGGCAACTCAAACTTGACCAATCCACAACCCAATGACTTTGTTTGGATTGTGTCTAGCGTTCCAGAAAGCCTCTTGAAGGTGCATTTGGCGAGCCCGAGTGTTTTTCTCATATGTGTTGACAATCATTGAGTAGAGACAAGATGCAAGCTTCACCTTACAATATTGTTGGGCTAGCGGATTTGAAAGCGGCAGACAAATCATATAGCAAGCTAGGTCCAATAGGGTATCCCAATCCGCAGTGACTTCACCAGGATTGTATCCTTTAGTGTATTCCACAGAACAAGATGAAGTGGTTTCAGTCTTTTAAGGCTCCTTGGGACGAGTAAGACAGTGTAAACAAAACGTTTTGCTTCTATTCGGTTAGAAAGTTGAGCAAAAATCCAGCTGTGAAGGCAAACCAGAGTCCAGGAGGAGTGAGAACAGAACTAGAATAAGTGATGAGCAAGACCAGAAGGGTCTCATAAACTGTTGAGGGGCACCCAGGTGACTGAAACAAAGAAGCTACTGGGGACTCACTATAGGAATTGAACAGTGAATTTATATTTGATATTCAGTAAGGAAAGAAGAGAGGGAGAGAGTGAGAAACCGGTAGAGAGTAATAGTGAGTAGCTTGTTAGAAGCATATCTAAATATAAGCTTATGACTACTACATACAGGGATCACTATCCCAACATTGTACACTCTCAGCAGCCGGGAGAGATTCCTCTTGGCTGCTGAGAGCGTACAGCTTTCAGCAACCAAGAGGGATTCTCGGCCCTCTGAGAGCTGTACACTGTCAGTGGCCGGGAGGAATCTCTCCCGGCTGCTGAGAGTGTACAACTCTCAGCGGGCGGAGAGGGATTCCTCTTGGTCGGAGAGTGCACAACTCTCAGCGGCCGGGAGGAATCTCTCCCGGCTGCTGAGAGTACACAGCTCTCAGCAGGCTAAGAGGGATTTCTCTTGGCCGCTGAGGGCTTTCCGGCGCCGGCTGACTCCCAACTTCCCTGGGGTGTTGAGACAACGGTGGGCCGCTACGCTACACTACACTATTTGGCCACTACATGTTAGCGTAGTTGCTTTTTTTTTGCTGGAAATCCTGTAGTGTTAGTTCACGCTACACACCGCTGAGCTAACTGCCAGCGTAGCGTGAAATTTTTCCCTCAAATTTGTTTTACTGTTAGCTTGTAATAGTTGCCTATAAACTCACTAGTAGCGAAACTTTTTCCCAAGCTAAACAAAACTTCCCACTAACCCAGCAGCGTAACTGAAGTTGATGCTAACATTTAGTGTACCTTATCCCAAATTTAAAGCTCCACTACACTACACTACACTACATGCCTAGTTACGCTACACTACATTAGAGGTTACCCTTCCCTACATTAGAAGTTACCCTGCCACATGTAGCATAGTGTAACTCATCAGTTAGAGAAAATTGATGTGTCAAGCTAGATTTTTGCCAACTTATGTGAAAATGTTCATATGACTGATACGGCGAAGGTCCACGGTAGCAATTTTCAATGTCCCGTGATCGCACACAATCCCCGCAGAAAATGACCAGCACAAGATGTGGAGAAAAACAAACTTAGGATGTGCCTGGTGAGATTTGAACTCACAACTTCAGCAATGTTGAGTCACATACAAGAGTGCTTCCTTTACCAACTAGGCTACAGATGCTTGTGTTTGCCAGGTCAGTTGGGTGGTACTTGTCATGGCCCATGTCAACAGCTCCACCCACACTCTGGTGATACATATGGGTAGCAGAATTTCATACACCTCAACACCCCCCCCCCCCCTTGCTGCATGATGTGAAAGTGGAAATTGAACACAAGTAAGTGTGGGAATTGAACCCAGTAAAGTATGGTCAGAGGGGGAATTGAACCCATGGTCTTAAGGTAGTCCGACAGGGGAATGTGGTCTTCGAGTAAGTGTTAAAAAATGGCAGGGGGCTAAAATTGAGTGGCCCCCAGTACGAACTGAAAAAAAATGATGATCAATTGAGGGGATCTGGATGTAGGCACCCCAATCAGGCACTGTCTTCAGGGTAGACTAGCGCTAGTCATGTGGTCATGTAACTACATAGTCAGTTACACTAACAGTTAGTGTAACTTTTAATCAGTTACACTAACAGTTAGTGTAACTTTTTCACCAGTTACACTAACAGTTAGTGTAACTGAGGGTACCACTACACTAACTGTTAGTGTAACTTTGCAAAAAGTTACACTAACATGTAGTGTAGTGGGTTAAACCACTAACACCACTAAAATTTCACTAACAGGATCTTGGGTAGTGTTAGCTGTGCCTTTTTGAAGGTAGCTAACACTACGCTAAAGTTGTTTTTTTGTTTTTCAAAAATCCTGTAGTGTTAGTGGGCCAAACATTCCCGCTAACGGTAACTTTTGTGTAGCGTAGCTTAAAAAGCTAACACTACGCTACACTAACACTACGGTTAGTGTAACTGGCCCACCGTTGGTTGAGAGTATCCACTCCCAAGAGCCCCCGGGGGGAATCAATTTTTTTTTTGAGGTCTGACTTCTAAGCAATGTTGGAATATGCTTATATTCAATATGTAGTATGCTTCAATCCATAACACTAACAACTTGTATATAGTCCATATATAAGTTGCTCTAGGAGTTTTCCCTTTTCCTCAGTGAATTAGAACTTTATATTTTCTCACTCTCAAGTGTCACAAGACTTTTCAGTTTGTGAACGTTAGCCTTCATCCCTGTGTCTCACTCAACAGGTTATGACCCCATCGTCGCTCTAGCTTTGCATATTGACATCAATGAACTTGAATCCAGCATTTCAACATGCCCGCACAAATGATCCAAAACCCTTCGGCTCTTATTGGAAATGTTCTGGCACTCGATGGAAACTCGGTTGGTTTTCCGGCCTGGCGCACCCGTTTGGAGGAACTGTTTGCTATACAAGGTGTCCACGATATTGTTACTGGCAAGCTTGTTAGACCGGAAGCCGACTCCAAGGATAAGGATTCCAAGCCAATCACTCAAGGCTCTCAGTGTGTCTATTACGCCGAGGAATCGGGGTCCGACTGGGATTCCCTTTCTGACGTTGCTTGGGCAACTCTTAAAATGACACTCTCCATTGATCTTGCTATACAATACAAAGAAGTCAAACCGGTCAGCGTTCTATTCAAAACTATCTGCAATGCGTACGAGAAAAATACCCGGGCGAGACGAATGATGCTACAGGATACCTTCTGGAGCGCTCGCCATTATCCCAATCAACCGATTGCCAAATGGATCGCCAAGGTCTGTAACGCTGCCTCGGACCTAAAGTCAGTCAAGCTCACCCCCGCCGATCAGCAAATCTGTGATCGCTTGCTTCGTGGTCTGGACAATTCCTGGAAACCGATCCGCGATCATTTGGTATATTCACCAAGCGAAATCTCACTCGACGACGCTATTGGGGCACTCGAGGCCTACAAGGTCTCTACTCAAGTCTCGTTCAATAACCCTCAGGAAATGTACGCAGCCCCTGCAGTTGTGAAGAAGAAAAAGACCCCCGGATGCTGGACGTGTGGAGAATTTGGACATCACTCATCCGCCTGTCCAAACCCACCTCTCAAAAACAAGTCAAAGGCAAGGGCTAACATGGTTGAAGCGCGTGCCGGCGCTACGTCAACGGTCCCTCTCGGTGACGGCGGCCCTAGAAATGATGAAGAAGACGATTTTGATCCGGAAATTGACGTCTGTTGGGGATGAAGTCTAAAGTAGAAGAAAAAAAAATTATTCGTAGGAAGGGAAACTCCGGCAATTCTTGAAGACTAATTCCTCCTGGTGTTTTGTTGTATATTTGTTGTCATGACGTCTCCCTGCTTCTTACCACCAATGGATCTCTAGTCTGATTATTTTTTTAATTTCTGTTCCCTCATAGGAAATAAATTAACTCCGGCATTAATCTAAAGTAGTTTTAATTCCTTTTATTATTTAGTTCTGGTTTTCAGCAAGGGGGCGTGTTGGAATATGCTTATATTCAATATGTAGTATGCTTCAATCCATAACACTAACAACTTGTATATAGTCCATATATAAGTTGCTCTAGGAGTTTTCCCTTTTCCTCAGTGAATTAGAACTTTATATTTTCTCACTCTCAAGTGTCACAAGACTTTTCAGTCTGTGAACTTTAGCCTTCATCCCTGTGTCTCACTCAACAAGCAAGTCGGACCTTTTGGAGGTCTGACTCCCAAGAAACTGGGGGAAAAAAAATACAGGGTCAGGACGTCCTGGCCCCTGTTGACAGGCGGTCTTTGCGACGTCCCAAAAATTTGGGAGTCAGAACTCCAATTTTTGGCGGTCGGTTGACTAAGACCCAAAATGAAGGGGGGATGGCCACCAATATCAGGTCTGGCCAATGGAGAAATGGTACAGCCTGTTTGTCGGGTTGGTTCATCTGGCGAGTCCGCTGTGGACCATATGTTGACAGGTGTGTGACCGAGCTTAACACAAGTCCCAATTTCCCTGCTATGGGCGGTGTTGGCATGGGAGTGGCCTTGCCACTGTCGCATTGCGCCGACCGCAGGGAGGGACTTGTGCCTCAAGTCCCCCTCCTTGCGGGGATCCTGAGAGGCGCTTCCGCACGTTTTGGTGGTGACAATCTTTCCACCTGTTCCAAATATTGACCCAATGAGCCAAAACCTCCGCCAATGGGTCAGATTTAAGCTCTACATCTGCCCTTTTGGGCTGCATAGATTTTATTTTGTGTTTCCCATTATTGAAGGAAATATAGAGGATGTAAATTATTGATTTTTTGCGAAAAACTCCCTCCCATCTTCCAATACAGCTTCAGTATATAGAAGACTAGTATATGCCCCCAAATTTGGGGAGGCGGTTTGTTTTTGCCCCGGATGTTGGGGATTTTACTTGTTTGAAGGTCCTATGGTGTAATAGCCTTCTGTTTTTTTTTTTTTCTTTTTTTTTTTATGATTGTAAAGTCTTATGTCGGAAATGACATTGAAATGTGCAACATCGACGCCAGCGTTAGAAGCCGCATGAGAAATCAATACAAAGGCTGACAGTTTGTTTGGCCCTCTGAGGCCATTTTTTTAGTTATATGTAGATAGGTGGTTTCATGTGTATACAAGACATACTTTACCAGTGATTTTGGAAGCCGATGAATGACTTCCTTGGGTCACAGAGGAGTCATCCGTAGCACAAATAAGACAATTGAGGCCTCTGTGCCTGCGCAAGATGCACACCTTTGTGGGCACCTCCTCAAAATTGTTGTTTGTCTCAGTGGTTCTCATTCAAATGGCCCCATTGTGGAAAAGAGTGGTTTTTTTTTGTGTTGGAAGTCCCAGGATCCACACCAGACTTGCCGCAAGGCTTTTGGGGCAAGCCTCTCTGTGAGACAGAGACCCTGCGGGGCTCCACCGTTCCGCGGGGCCCGTAGGGGGGCTCTCGAGAGGCCTCGTTAAGCTCGGCACGATCCAGGGATAGGGTTGTCGGCGCCACCCCCTGGTGCGCGCCAAAGTGCGCGCCAAAAGTGCGCGCCCTGCGGGCGCGCACTTTTTCCCAAAAAGGTGGGGTGGCGCGCACCTCTAACCCTAACTTTTCAGGGACGGCCTAGAGAGTCCGGCGGCTCTCCCTGCACGAATGATGGGCATTGGACAGTCGGACTGACAGGCTGTAGCCTGTCAGGCACTTCATTTCCAATTTGGGAATGATGGGGGGGAGTCCCCATAATTCCCAGCGGTAGGGGGGGGGGGGGGGAGGAGGGTTGGTGAATGGACATCAGAAAGTCAGATAGGCAATACTCAACCAGTGCAATCTCTGCCCAACTTTCTACCATCCACCATGTCACCCACCGGAAACAACAAATCTTCATCATCAATTTGTTTGAAACCGCTCCACCGCAACCCGATAACGATGTGATCGAAATTGAAGACACCGAAACCAATCCGATTGCTGAGACCGACTGGAACCCCACTGATCTGTGGTTTTCTCAATGATCGCGATCATTCCTCCTTTTCTTTTTGGCCTGCACACATAAATCAATTTTTTTTTCCGCTTGTTTTCTTACTATTATGAGCTATAATGTGAGCAGTTAAAAAAAAAAAATGGCGCCTGGGCGCGCCGCCCCTGCGCCAGCCAAAGGCGCGCCCCTTCAGAGGGCCTGGTCGGCGCCCGTTGGCGCGCACTTTTTCAAAAGTGGCGCCGACAACCCTATCCAGGGACCATTGGAGATGCTCTTACCACCAATATCGCCGACGGGAAGTCATCCGTCACTCGGGTTTTCCTCTTGCTCCAGTTGATCTTGTATCTCAAAGTAAGTCCCTGATCTACTCCCATCAATCAATCCACTGCACTAATCACATTCATTCTTAGCCTAGTAACCCCCTTGAGACCCCAAGGAAGCACTATTCGAACTATCTGTAATTGCCCCAATGGAACCGGAGCATCGCAAACGGCCTTTTTCCGAATTAGAATCATCGGAGCCAACTGAACGTGCATTTGAACGTTTCGCACAATTTGTTCCACCTCACATTGATCCAAAAACAACTTTTGAATTGTTTCTGAATAAGGCGGGGTGTTTGTCGATTCTTTTAAATCCATTTCATCTCATTATGATTGACACTGAGGTTTTCTCTTCTTTCCTGACTCTTTTTCAAGTGGAACTTGTCGACAAATATCTCGATGATCTGAATAATTTCTCTCATCAAGTGCCTGCTAATGTGCATTTCAGCTCATTTTGTTCGATCTGGCATATGTTTGTTGCTCGAGAATGTTCGGTTAAGAGTATGGCAAATACGTTTCAAATTCAAGACAACGAAGACCTGAAGGACCAAGCTGTTCGACTTGCTTTCCTGCGAAATCACCCCAACTATTTTACCGACAAAACGATCACTGTCTCCAATATGATTGAAGCACTCCTACAATCTTCCAATGAAGCGGCCGAGCAATATATATCATCTCTAGCGACAAAACCTGACAGCGAAGCCATAACCTCACGAATAAGCCTTGATATTATCAAGAAAGGTTATGATGGGGCTTACATGAAATCAGAACTTATCGTTCTTCCAATCTTGAAAAAACTTCGAAAGCAAGCAGCCAGCTGGATTGAAACCGCGTATCATTCCCCGTATACATCCCTGGTTGCCCCGTCGACGAGTGGAAAAACTCGATTGTTAACCGAGCTATCGAAGCATGTATGTGTAGTTTATATCTGCCTTCGCGATAAGGACTCCACTGGGCAGCCACCCCGATCAGCGCTGGCTTCTGCTATGACACCAACCACGGTCGTAGATTTTTCAAATTACTACGAGAACCTCCTCATCGCTATTTTCGAGGTGGTGACCGACTTCTTTCGAGGTAGCCGTCCGGACAAAGGAAAAGTCTTAAAGAATTGGTTCGACTACCACTGCCCTAAGAATTTGGAACCAGAACAGCCAACCCAGTTTTCGAGGGACGTTTTGAACAAATTGAATGATTGCTACTCTCTGATACAAAGTGGCAAAAGCAAGAAGGCTTCCACACGACTCAAAGTCGCCGTCAATGACATGTTCACCCAAACCAAATTCATTGACTCTTCCCTGACCGTATTACTTGCAATCGATGAGGCGCGGTCATTACTCTTGACACCCAAGCAATCATCGAAGGAATTCTCATTCTTCCGTAACTTCCGTCGTGCTTTACAACATATACCTACAAACCAAGGCTTTTTCGCCATATTAGCCGATACGACTTCCCAGGTTGCCAATTTTAACCCAGCACCCAAAAATGATCCTAGCGCAAGAGATGAGATCGATGCCGGTGATTGGCTTTTCGATCCGATATATCAAATCTCCACGCTTGACGTCCTGGTCTCGCCCAATCTGCCTCGATCCTGGAAAGAATTGGTGTCAGCTGCTCGACTGGTCAATTATGGAAGTCCAGTTTTCGGTACATACTGGCGCGTTGCGGAAGCCGAGGGAATGGAACCATTGGAAATCTTCGACCATATCGTCAGGTTGGCACAATCCAAGCTACTTTGTTCAACCAAGCAGCCCCTACCGGCCAAGCTCACCAAATATCAAGTCCTCGCATTGCTGGGCCCAAACATCCAGCCACGGCTCAACGGCACTTTGCACTTAAACTCCGAGCTAGTTTCATCGCATGCAGCTCATTGTAATTACATTTCACCAGGGCGCGACCTGATTATCTCTAATTACCCGTCACAGTTTACCTTGGCATGTGCAGCAAATAAAATTTTGGCAGGTGAAGAAATTCTCATTCGCTGCATCAAGGAGCTCACTACCATTCTGCGCCTCGGACTTGATGCCAAAGGAACTGCCGGAGAGCTAGCTAGTAGAATTATCTTATCATGTGCGATGCGTAATGCCATGAAACTCAAGGAAGATTTAGACGAAATACCCTACGGCTGCTCAGTTCGATTGGCTGACTTTTTGAAGGCTTTGACCGGTAAACCAGAAGAGGAATTGCAGCTCGGCCAAAACCTCCCCGCAAAAACTCGGAAAGAACTCTTGGGCAACGGGATGGTTTTCTGGAACCATTTCACTCAAATCTATTACACGCCGAACTCAAACGAACTGTTACACTTCCTTTATCGAGGGCTAGCCGTGCAATGCAAACCATTGCAGCCAGGTTTTGATCAACTATTCACTATCTATCTCAAAAAAGGTCCGGATCGTCTCGATGAGCAGAACGTCACTTTCTGTGGTGTTCAAGTAAAGAATACCCTAACCCAGCCCAGTCTCGTCGCTGACAATCACAAATGGACCGCCCAATACTCTGGCATCCAGATCACGAAGGGCAATCCATATCTGGTGCTTTTCATGAGCCTGAAGACGGAAGGCAAAACTGCTCCTTTACCCAAGGGAGATAAACTGCGAGCGTCCCAAGTATTCCATGGTTTGAAGAGCTTTGACTGTCTTACTGAAGAAGTAGTCAAAGCCCTACAAGAAATGATAGATGTTGAACCGAACATACCATCACTTCATGATGATGACGATGGAGAACGATACGCCAACCTAATTAACCCATTGGTATATACTCGCCCCGAGGGCTAAAGCATCCAGATCGCAGCATATGATTAACCCATTGGTATGTACTTGTCCCCAGCGCTAAATCATCCCGATTTCAACTTATCAAGTAGCTAATTATCCAATCGCCCCCACCGCCAAATCATCCCGACCACAGCATATCATTAACCCATTGGCATTTACTTGTCTGGAAGCTGTCCACAGCGCCAAATCATCACCATTTCAACGTATCAAGTTGCTTATTATCCAACTTATTAATTTATTGCTCTTGCACTCATGTGTGGAGTTCGTTGCAAACCAAGTTATACCCTGTTTTTCCTTTTGCTAATTGAAATGTGAAACTGCACTGATAAAAAGTCTTGAAACAAGGAAAGCTCATCATATCCGCATTGGATTGCGAGAAAACATGAAGAATTCCTTCACATCTTGTTGACAAGTTGCACCAAGATCCACTTGCGATGAGATTGGAAACAGTTTTATCAAGTTCACACTGAGTATTATTTGATTCCCCATGGTGGGGAATGGATAGAAAACACTTGATCCCATAACTGTTTTCCATAATGTGGGAAATGGATGGGAAATAATTCCTTTTTGGGATAATTGTTTCCCTATTATTATCCCACCATGCAATGCTTCTTGCAACTCTCTCTTCTCATGGCCTGAGAATTGAATTCCATTCAGCTTTACTTATCTTCAAGAGCTTTGTGTAGAACTCCCTAAAGTGTCTGGAATCTTCAACCCCTTGGGAACCATATTCAAACACCTCTCCTCTCAATTTTTCTATGAAAAATCGAAGTTTATAGATTTAGGTTCTAAACAGCTTTGAGAGGCTTGTAAGTGGCCATGGGAATTTCTTCACTGCAACCCTCAGGCCAGATTGAAGATTTATTGCTGAATTCTGTTCTGTTCTGATCTGAAGTTGAAAACCTGAATCTAAAATGGCAATAGAGTTTTCTGCTGTGGCGCTTATCTTTTGGGAGAAAGATTGCTTCAAAATTCCTTTGTTGATTAGGTTCCCTCAAGATTTAGAAAAGGTTTGCCCCCATCTTTGTTACCTTTCATGGTGTTTTTTTGCAGACCTTGCCAGTGATGAAACCAGCATTTTTCTAGTTGACCAGATTGCAGAGGTAGAATTTGAAACACAATGCATGGTTGATCAAAAATAAATGTAAAAAATGTGTTTTCACCTTGAATAGACACCTATGGCCTCTCAGTTTTTTTGTAACTTTTGTAACCCCCTTTTTTATATAAAGTGTTATTTGTTCATTTCACATGCAGCTATTTTGGAAAGGGTTGTCCAGTTGTCTTGCTTTTTTTTTTTGAATTTTTTGAATTTTTCTTTGTAATGAACTACAGCCAAGGGGGTACAGCTGTCATCACTAGTTCAGTTCTGACAGGTCCAGTTCAGTAAAAAAATAAAAAATAAAATAAATAAACAAATAAGAATTTGCGAGTCCAAGTGGACAAGACTTCCTTAAATAGCTGTATCACACTGCATATCTAATATTACTAGGTAACTTGTGGCTCTACTGAGCCATACAAAACAGCTCCCTTGAACATGAGTCACTCACCAGGAACTGGGGGAAATTAAATTATGACATGTGTCATTACCAAGAACAATTATTTACACTTAACAATGAAACCTCAATTTCTAAAAGTAAGTACACATCTCATTGCAAAAAAGAAGCCTTAAAAATAAACACTCACTTTATCAAATATCAGAAATAGAAATAATTACACTGTGCAAAGAAATGGTCAGTGGGAAAGTCTTCCAATCCCGGACCATTTCAAAGTTTGTGGCAAATGCATTCAATATCATGAGTGCTAAGCCCAGGTTCCAACATGTTTGCATTCAGCTCACCATGAGTGCATGACAAATATGCTTCACAATTTTGCAAACTGCTCCTATTGTAAGAAGATGTTGTTTGGTAGAGAAATAAATCAAGTGATAGAGATATATGATTAATTAAAATCTCTTGGTGATTCCAACCAGAAGCTTTATTTACACATCATAGGACTATCATTTTTTTCTTTGTTCCTTGTGTTGGAAAAATTCTTCTGAATTTCTATTGATGATATATTGAAAGGTCCAGAAACTTCAAGTACAGTGATTCAATATTTACACAAAAATAGAGACAATCATTGAAATCTAGAGTTAATCAATTTCTCTCAAAAGATCACTGCTATTTTTGTTTTTCCTTCTTGCTTCCCACCCAGTTACAAACCTTTGAAATTCCCACATATGATATCAAATTGATTGGTTTGAGAACAGTACACCATGAAAAATTTGAGGGCAGTACATGTCAGGTGACATGAAGCTAGCTCCTGCCTTTATTCCAGTGTTACTTCAAAGTCAAAGGGTTGGGACTCCCTGATGACCACAAAGGGTGAATTTTCATTTGAGCAGACCAGCACCAGAGTAACAATGGAGTTGTAACATATGTCACTTCATGTCACCTGACACCTACTGCCCTCAGATATTTCCTGGTAGTATCAGGATTTAAAATTGAGCGTTTTGCATTTGAACTTGCTTAGAATCTCTTGAAATCCATTCCTTCTTATAAGATTACTAAAATTACTCACTCTTTGGGAGAATTTATCAACACACAAAACAACCAATTAGAAACTACTACATGTAATTTCTGCAGTGTTTACTTGACTGGAGATAAAATTCCAAGACAATTCACTGGATCTTCATGATCAAGTGCAAATAAGTAGTTGTAGAAATGAGATCTGAAGCAAACTATTCCTGCTTTGATGTAGAAGGCAAGAAGACAGCCATTTCCAGACAATTGATCACTCAACTTTTCTCTTTGTAGAAAAGGTCTTCTTTTAAGCTGGATTGAGTGCTCTTTATCTGGAAAATTGTGTTCCTTTCCTTAATTGGAAGCTGTGCAATTGACTCAATCTGCTGTGCTTGCTGCGTCAGTATTCGGTGCGGCGCATGATTTGCTTTTGGTTGGGTGTTCCCAGCTGAGGCTGCGGGCATTGACCACCCAATCATCCTCTCCGGAAAACATGTCGAGCACCCACTTCCTATGACTACCACTACCATCAATCACCAAGCAAATCTTCTCAAGAAGGAGTCCCTCCAGAAAGTTCAACCTAAGCCCATTCTTGACTTGCAATCAACCTTCTCATCGGCCCTCAGCCTTCACCTCAAACCTTCATCTCCAACAATCACCTTCCGTCTGTTTCACCGGCAATGCCAGACCGTCTTCATATTTGACATCTTACAATCAATGTTGCATAGCATTTTCCAGATCAAACTCCAGTCTATCATCTAATCCAGAACTAGTTCTTTCACCACCAATTATCTCAAAACATCTGATCTTTATTGCCGGACCGGTCTTCACCATTGTGGACGTAGGAGGATTTACTTCATCTGATGATAATGAATCAATCAATCAACTCAATCTCCTTTCTCAGATTCCTTTCTAGTTTTTTCATTAGTTATTGTGTACAGTGGGTGGACCATTATTTTTGGCTGCTTGTTTTGGATTACAGAGCTTCAAAGCACAAACTTGAAGTCACAAGAATTGGTGAAGTGGTGCAGAATAGGTCCCAAAGAATGAATATGAAAAAATAAAAACAAAAAACAAAGTTTCAAAATCTGTGAAAAATAAAAAATAAGAATATTTTTTTCCAAAAGCTTTGATATTCATTTTGGGGGAGTGGAAGCACTGGAAGAAAGAAAGAATGGAAAATGGGAAGAATGATTATAAATGAAAATTTTTAAAAAAATGGTTACCAGTTGGTTTTAAACAGCTGTTGAGTAGGGCATTCACCAGCTCACATTGTAGTAAAGCACTAGAATTTACTGTTTTGGATCCAATCTGGACAGCCAATATGGCTCACCCTTTTTTGGTTCCAATTTTTTTCATTTATAATCATTCTTGTGATGTTCCACTCTTTCTTTCTCTCAGCACTCCCACTCCCCCAAAGTCAATAACAAAGCTTTTGGAAAAAAACATTTTTATTTTTTATTTTTCACAAATTTTGAAACTTTGTTTTTTGTTTTTATTTTTTCATATTCATTCTCTGTGACCTATTCTTCACCAATTCACCAAGTCTTGTGACTTGAAGTTTGTGCTTTGAAGCTGTAGAACCCAAAACAAGCAGCCAAAAATAACGGTCCACCCACTGTACATCAATTAAATGTACCCTTTTTTCAGATATTTTGATTTGTATGTGTGTTGTATCTCAGGTTTTTTTGTTGGTTGGTTGGTTAGATGGTAAAAAAGGAACCAAATGGAAAGAAAGGATCATCATTTGAAGGGGCGAATTTTTCCTATAAGATCAAAGTTTTCTGATCTCTCCCTATGTAAATTACCTTGGACAAATCTCTAGACTGAATTTCTAACTTCACATGTAACTTCCCCCACTTACAAAAAAAAAAAAAGAAAAAAAAGAAAAAAAAAAGAAAAAAAAAAGAAAAAAGAAAAAAGAAAAAAAAAGAAAAAAGAAAAAAGAAAAAAAAGTGAAGTTGACGCACAAAAAATTGAATACCTGCAAGCCCATGCCAATATTGTATTGTATTGGCCAATACAATATATTCAAAACAGGTACAATTTATCTGTTTGCCAATAAAATACATTTGTGTATTGGCAAACAGAGATAATATATTTATTAAAGATATTTTACATCTGGACACCAATAAAATACCAAATATTGGGCAATAATTTATTTTATTGTATCTGTTTCAGCGTTGATGACTCTGTGTTTCTCTAATTGTGCCCTGTGGCTATTGTCATGTATTCTTTGTGCCTGAAACTCTATAAGTGTCTTTTTCAACCTTTGTTTCTATAAGTTTCTTATTTCATCTTTGTTGGTGAATTTGTTTCTCTATTTATCTTTATTTACTTCTCATTTGATTGTTTGATCTGATATTCTAATATTTTTCTTTCTCAGTCTTACCAACAATTGGCTACTATGCTGCGCTAAATGGCCCATCAAGGTTAGCATAGATTCCCTCAAAACAGCACGCCAAACCTGTATTTTTAGAGCGCTGATAGTGCCACTACACTACACTGTGCTCCACTACAGTGCTTTTAGAGGCAAAAAAGGTCAAAAAACTGCTAAAACGTGTGGTAGCACATTTGAGTGGGACCTTTTTTGCTGCGTACACATGTAGCCTTAGCACAGTTGTGGCAGAATTTTGTTGAGCTACGCTAAACATTAGCGGAATTTAGCTACGCTACGCTGCGCAATTGCTACTGTTAGCGTAGTGGGCCTATTGTTGGTCTGACTTGTGGGGATGAATGACTGCTACTTTTGCATAATCTATAGTCAGATGATAGATCTGGTTTTTGCAAATCCAGTTTTCCAGCCCCCCCCTGAATTACTAGAATTCTGTCAGAAACAAGGATACATGAATATTT